AACAGAGAATGTGTGCACTTTATAACTCTGCAGTGCATGGTGCCTGGGCGGCAATCCTACCCTGCATGGACAAAGTACATGTTTTTCTTTTTTTTTCACTATCTAGTGTGCAATAAGCAGTTTAGTAAATGTAAAACTATGCTTTGCCCTCCGGAAGATTTACCCCCCTTAATGACCAGGCCATTTTTTGCTATTCGGCACCGCAGTATTTCAACTGGTAATTGCAATGCTGTACCCAAACAAAATTTATATTTTTTTTTCACACAAATAGAGCTTTCTTTTGGTGGTATTTGATCACCACTGGGTTTTTTTCTTTTTTGTGATATAAATGAAAAAATGCCAAAAAGTTTGAAAAAAACATTATATAAAAATATATAGTAAACTCAAAGTTAGTCATAAATTTAGGCCAAAATGTATTCTGCTGCACGTCTTTGATAATCCTATCCTAATCCTAATCCTAATACATGTTTATTAATTGTAACAAATAATATTTTGAAGTAACAAAATATATATGCAGCACTCTGTAAATCATATAAAGAAACTCATAAACAAAAAGTCCATCAATAAAGTCCTTTTTGAAATCACCATGTGAATTGAATTTTCAAAAATAAAATCACCACGTGACTGTAAATAAATATCCAAATTGTACTGTGCTCCGCCTTTAGGTGTGCACTCACCAACTTTATTTGCCTCCCACTCTCATGGTTGGCAAAATTCACATTGGTATAAACATATATTTCTCCAGACCAGGATATTCTCTCATATACATTGATTATTCTCAGAATGGTTCCAACACTCCAAATCAATAGCCTTTGTAACTGACTCTCCACAGTAACTCTCCCAGAATGGCTCCAACACTCCAGATCTACAATCTCTGGTAATGACTCTCCATATCATATCAAAGAAAGGAAATATGTGTGTAAAATGTAATGCTTTCGCTCAGTGCCGTGTTCGTTCTTCTCTCCCTGGGTGGCATAGGGGGCAGCGGGGGGCGTACCCACACCCGGAAATAGAAAGCGACAAAAGATTACATCACTTTTCCCAGAGCCGATGCTCACCCGCACATTGTTGACACGCGAGCAGCAAGTAGTTAAAAAAAAATTTCTCTCAATTTTTTTTAAACATTCTTTTTCATTTTTTTTACAATTTTTTTTAAAGAAAACTTTCATCAGAGTTCTGCCATAATAACATTGCACTACCCTGGGAGGTGATCAGGGATTTTTTTTTTTACACTGTGCAAAGCAGGAGCAATGAAGCTTGCTTTGAACTGTCAAGAATGTGTTAAGTTCATGACAGTTCAATAGTGACAGTGATCTGTGATTGGCTCCCGCTGGTCACATGGTTTAAAGGGTGCTGTGATTGGCCCCATGTGTCATGTGAGAGCTGTGGACCAGTCACAGCTCTCCAGGAACAGAAGCAAAGCTTTTATGAATCACATTGATTCATAAAAGCTTTGTTGTCATTGTGATCATGTGATCGCATAGCAATCACGTGATCATTGGGTCCCGATTACCGGGATTCTCATTCTGCTGTGTCTGGTGGACACAGCAGACATGAGGGGGTAGGGTTGAGCGCCAGCTCGAGCACGCAGCGCATCCCTGTGTTGGCAAAAGTCCAGCGACATACGGGTATGTCACTGGCCCTGTAGCTGCCACCCATCCGCAGTACATTGCAGGCGAGCGGCCCCAAAGTGGTTAAAGCAGCAAAACACAGATCAAAAATAGAGTTGTTGCTCATCCCAAACAACAAGAGCCCTTGTTTTAGTGGTTTCAAGTGATTCAAATTTTGGTTTTGTGTTGGCTAGTATGGGACTGATTAATTCTGTATGAATCCTTTAGAAACCAGAAAAAGGTATGCAAAGCAATTTAAATGTTAGGCTAAGGTTAGGGTCAAGGGTTAGTACATAATACAACATTGTAACAGTATGATTAGAATTTTAAAGTTATTTAAAGCTAAACTCCAGCCACACACCCCTAGTACTACCCACACATGCAGTACACCCATAGTTTGGTGAGAACGCTGACTTACATCCACTTTAATGTGAGTAGGATTCTTTTATGTACTATTTCATAGCAAATAAACAGGTTTACACTATATTGGATATCTTTTGCTTTACTGGGGATGTGTACGGAGTGTCACTTATCCAGCATCACTAGTTACCATTGGATACCTATCCACCAGAGTAGGAGGGAGTCCCAACACCACTGCTGAGGAGAATCTTATCCTTTGGAGGAATACTGTGTGACTTATTAGGCTCATTGGTCCTGAGGGGCCTGGGCAGGAAGGTGAGGGGGCACCCCAGGCACTGAGGATTGGCACGCAATTTTGAGCACTTGCATGAGGAGTGTGTTTTTTTTCATCCATAAAGACACTTATTTATGAATAGCCTTTTAATGCTGATTTTTTTCTTTGTGATATGACTCCCCATGTTGCATGATATATATCTCCCTTAAAGGGACACACACACAGTTTTTGCACTTATTGATCCCTCAATTGAGGATCTTTTCATTTAATGTTATATTTGAGTTTCTTGCTGTATATGTGTCATTCTATATATCATTTGTTTTTATGCAACATTGTATCTTATAGCCCTGCACTATGTATATATAAATAATTCAATAATATTTTTTTTTTGAATGTGAACTAACCCTTTAAAAAAAATAGGCATATAGTTGTTAAAGTATGCAAACCTGAAAAACAATATGAAACAAGCAGGATACATCTTCTAAAAGGAAGCAAAACACTAAGGTAAGCATAATTGCACAAAAAGAGTTAAGTTTGGTTGCAGTGGTTTGTACCCTGTGATATATGTTCAAATGTCTGGAGAACATTTTCAGGGTAGCTGGTCTTACACCGGTTTATTATAGAATGTCTACCTGCTCTTTTCACTTCAAACCACAGCTGCGATATATTACACCTCAAAGTTGTAAAGTGGGCATGGAGAAGGAAATTCTTATTCTTCCATCTGATTGTGATTTTCACTTGTATAACTGATCCTTTAAAAGATTAGTTTCCTCTGCAGCCCCCCTACGTATAATAGCCCACATGTACAGTGAGGAACAGAAGTTTTTGAACACCCTGCGATTTTGCAAGTTCTCCCACTTAGAATCATGGAGGGGTCTGAAATTCACATTGTAGGTGCATTCCCACTCTGAGAGACAGAATTTAAAAAAAAATTCAGGAAATCACATTGTATGATTTTTTAAAGAATTTATTTGCCTTGCACTAAATTTAGGCCAAAATGTATTCTGCTGCATGTTTTTGGTAAAAAAAATCTCAATAAGCATATATTGATTGCTTTGTGTGAAAGTTATAGCATCTACAAACTACAGATAATGGAAATTACACAGCTTTTACTTTCTGACTGCTTATCACATTTCTTGAGGTGCTAAAATACCAGGACAGTACAAACACCCCCAAATGACCCATAGACACCCTGAGCTATCTGCTGAGCAGCATCTTGAGTACATGGAAGATTTATTTTTTTCCACAAGTTTTTGGAAAATGACAAAAACATTTTTCTTTTTTTTTTTTACATAAAGTTGATATATTGCTCACACAGACCATGGGTATATGTGGAATTACACCCCAAAATACATTCTGCTACTTCCACCGAGTATGGGGATACTGCATATGTGAGACTTTTTGGGAGCCTAGCCACGTACAGGAGCCTGAAATCCAATGACCACTTTGAAAGCCTGAAGGTGCGTAACTTCCTCATTTCACTTCCTCACTACCTATCACAGTTTCAGAGGCCCTGAAATGCCAGGATAGCACCAACCCCCCCCCCCCCCCCCCCCCCCCCCAAATGATCCCTTTTTGGAAAGTAGACACCCCAAAAAATTTAAAAAGGGGCATGTGAGTATTTTGCAGGTCTCATTTTTTCTCACAAGGTTTTGAAATATAAAAAAGAAAAGAAAAAATATGTTTTTGTTTTCTTTCTTCATTTTCCAAAAACTTGTGGCAACAAATGGGATCTGCAAAATACTCACCATCAAATTCCTTGGGGTGTTTACTTTCCAAAAAAGGGTAATTTGCGGGGGGGGGGGGGGGGGGGGGGGGGTGCTATCCTGGCATTTCAGGGCCTCCGAAACTGTGATAGGTAGTCAGGAAGTGTAATGAGGAAATAAAGCCCTTTAAAAGCCTGAAGGTGCTTATTGGATTTTGGGGTCCTGTACTTGGCTAGACTGCCAAAAAATCTCTCACATGTGGTATCCCCATACTTGGGAGAAGTAGCAGAATGTATTTTGGGGAATAATTCCACATATACCCATGGCATGTGTGAGCAATAAATCATTTAAGTGACAATTTTGTGTAAAAAAAAAAATTATAATTTTTTTGTCATTTTCCAAAAACTTGTGATACAAATCACAGAAAATAGTTTGGGGTGTCTACTTTCCAAAAAGGTGTCATTTTGGGGGGGTGGGGGCATTTTATTCCCAGAATTAGAAGTGTATGCTATACATCACTCACTCTTCTAACCACCTGCAGACCAAGCCTTTTCTGACCCTTTTTGTTCACATGAAAAAAATCAGTATTTTTTTGCAAGGAAATTACTATGAACCCCCAAACATATATTTTTTTTAAAGCAGACACCCTAGTGAATAAAATTATGGGTGCTGCAATTTTTTATGTCACATAGTACGCGATTTTTCAAACGCAATAAAAATACACTTTTTTTACTTTTAATGAACAAAAACACAATATATTGCCCAATTATTTGGTAAAATATAAAAGATGATGGTATGCCGAGTAAATAGATATCAAACATGACATGCTTTAACTAGTTGCCGACCGCAGATAGCCGAATGATGGCTAAACTGCGGCCGGCCAGTTCTGAGTGGACGTCATATGACGTCCTCCCAGAACGCCTCTCTGGGGCGCGCGCACCCGGCGATCTCCGTGATCGCTGTGTCCTACGGACACAGCTGATCACGTGATGTGGTAAAAGGCCAATCACAGCGGCCTTTTACCACCTGATCAGCGGTGTCCAATGACACGCTGATCAGAGGGAAATGCAAGTGCCGGTTCTCGGCTGCACTTTCCTCACGCTGTCAGATCGTGAGGAAAGTACTGCCGAGAACCGGCAGTTGTCAGAGCGGGGATCGGCACCGATCATCAGGGCACTGATGATCAGTGCCCTGATGATCGGTGCCCAGCAGTGCCACCCCCAAGTTCCGCCCACCTGTGCCCAGCAGTGCGCCCACTAGCTCCGCCCACCTGTGCCCAGCAGTGCACCCACCTGTGCCCAGCAGTGCACCCACCTGTGCCACTCTGCAGTGTCACACACCTGTGCCCAGAAGTGCCACCTACCTGTGCCCAGCAGTGCCACCCACCTGTGCCCACCCACCTGTGCCCACCAGTGCCACCCACCTGTGCCCACCCACCAGTGCCACCCACCAGTGCCACCCACCAGTGCAGCCCAGCAGTGCTGCCAGTCAGTGCCACCAGTCAGTGCCCAGGGGTTGTGCCAGTCAGTGCCGCCAGTCAGTGCCCAGCAGTGATGCCAGTCAGTGCCGTCTATCAGTACCCATCATCAGTGTCACCTATCAGTGCCGCCTATCAGTGCTGCATATTAGTGCCGCCTATCCGTGACACCTCATTAGTGCTGTCTATCAGTGCCGCCTATCCGTGCCACCTCATTAGTACTGCCTATCAGTGCCCTTTAGTGCTGCCTATCAGTGCCCATCAGTGCCGCCTATCAGTGCCCATCAGTGCTGCCTCATCAACGCACATCAGTGAAGGAGAAAAAATACCTGTTTGAAAATTTTTATAATAGAAACAAAGAAACTTTTTTTTTTTTTTTTTTCAAATTTTTTGCAATTTTTTTATTTATAGCGCAAAAAGTAAAGTGCCCAGTGGCGATTAAATACCACCAAAAGAAAGCTCTATTTGTGAGAAAAAAATGATCAAAATTTCATATGGGTACAATGTTGCATGACCGCGCAATTGTCAATCAAAGTGCGGCAGCGCTGAAAGCTGAAAATTGGCCTGGTAAATAAGGGGGTATAAGTGCCCGGTAGGCAAGTGGTTAAAACTGTGCATGCACCGTGCAATGGCGACAAACTGCATACATTTTTAATATACATTGACAACAGTTTAAAAGCCTTTACAAGCTACCATTTTAGATTTAGAGAGGAGGTCTAGTGCTAGAATTACTGCCCTTGACCTGACATTCTCTGCGATACCTCACACGCATGGTGCAACCGCTGTTAACATACTGGCAGGGGGTCAACGCTCGCGCATGCATGTGTACACGCGGGGGGGGGGGGGGGGGGGGATTTTTTTAAGTTATTTGGATTTTTTGTATTATTTTTACACTATCCCTTTAATTTTTTTTAATCACTCTTAATGCTATCACAGTGAATGCAAATATCCCCTATAACTTCATTGGGTATTGTCATATATTCTTTTTTGAGAAATCTGAGGTCTATCAGACTCTAAATATCTCCTCTGCCATTACATTATCTAATCTCACCAAGATCGGTGTGATCAGATTCTTTCCCAATTTACAAATGGTGCTGTTTATATCCTGAGAAACTGAAATGATGACATGCTTATAGCTTCCGATATCTTAGACTCTTAGACTATAGAGATGATTGGCACCATTCCGATCTCCAATCAGCTCTATGGTCAGCTGACAGAAACACCGGCTGCATTCTCAGGTTCCCCTGATGGCACGGGACTGCCTGAGAAGGCTGTGGAGGGCAGAGAGAGAGGGGGCATCTTCTTCCGCTGCTTGTAAAAGCAATCCTGCAGCTAATTAGTCACTAGGATTGCTTTTACTTGAAAGCCAATCGCCAGCTGAAAAAAAAACCGTACCGGGATGATATCTGGAGCTGCAGGCATCATCCCGGCATAACCACTCAAAGTCCAGTGATGTACCTGTATATCGCTAGTCCTTGTTGAGTGTATGTGCTCTTTTTTTATGCAAAAATGAGGGCTGAATGAAAAAAAGAGAAGAAATCTTTGTCAGAAAAAGTGTGTGGTATGCCCACCATTAGAATATACCACCCTGCATCCACCCACTTCTAAGGGTGGGCACACATGAAATGTGCCAAAAAATATTATAAAATATATATGCCGAAGCATAGGGGCCATCCACCCACTGGCCACCCCAGGCCCCCATGCTTTTACATATATGCTCTTTTTTTAACTGCAGATGAAAAATCTCATCTAACAGCAATGTCCACACTGACTTATTATATTCTGAGAGCAAGTTCCTGTTGCTGTCAGAATAAACAGGTCAGTGCTGCAGCTGAATGGCATTGGTTAACAAAAAAACAACAACAATAAAACCGTAAAAACTAAAAAAACTATAACTAACTCAAGAAGGCTTTTCCCTATTTCTAAGATGTGTATTTACAACCTGTTGGGGGAAGCCCAGGCAATTAGGTCACACATGTGTCAATTCCAAGATTGTACAAATGTCTAAATAGTGGCACGCTTGAATAAAAATTGACCACGTATAAGTGCTATCCCATATGGAAAAAGGATGACACCAAATCTGAAACTATCTTGCCTCTGCTCCCCATGTAGTCTGGGCATCCGGGGGGCTCCACGTGACTATCTTCACCCTCATAAATCCAAAACTTATATGTATAGCCTGTTGCCCTCTCATATTAAGGGTTTGACTTTCTTGGCTCTGGGACTTACCAGCACCTCCCTGCCATCTTCTTAGTGCTGATTCACACATGTGCGGTGTGTATTCAAGCTCAGGTTTCAAAGCTAATTGATACAGTAGTTGTCCAGTGTTTCAGGTCAGGTGTATCTGTTCAGGACAGGTTTAGATCAGGTCCAAGTCAAGATTTTATCCTGTTCACAACTAATTACACGTGCGCTTTGGAAATGGTTTCCATAGAAGTCAATAGCCTGATATCTGCACCTGAACCAGACCGCACTGCTCAGAAATTGGACATGACTCTTTTTCAATCGGCACTGAATCTGCACTGCCAGTGCACCAGACATATGTGAACAGGCACCATTGGAAGCAATGTTATTTTACATGTTCTGAAGATTGGATACGGTTCAAAACGCATCCGGTCTACATATGTGTGAACCGACACTTAACTTGAGAATTTTTCAGTTGTTAGTGTCAGCTGTCACTATGTTTAAAGCATAGAGGATGGGTATGGCCTAGTCCTGAAGCCAGGGTGGTCAGGTTCCTAGTAAGTGTGATCAGTTTCAGCATAGTGCACAGAAAATTTTTTTTCCAGCTAATAATGGCAATAGAATATACCTTTTGGTGCATTCTCTTAGACAGGTTCTATATGGCAACTTTTCAGTCTGTAAATGTAGGGTCTGCATTATTTCTCTTTTTTTAGGCATTTTACTTATTTATTTTTATTATTTATCTATTACAGGTACTTATAGAGCGTTGTCAATTTACACATAATATATATTGACCATTCACATCAGCCCCTGCCCTCAAGGAGCTTACAATCTAAAGTCCCTAACACACATTCATACATGCTAGGGCCAATTTAGACAGGAGCCAATTAACCTACCGGCATGTCTTTGGAATGTGGGAGGAAACATATGCAGGCACAGGGAGCACATGCAAAATCCAGGCAGGTAGTGTCATGGTTGGGATTCAAAACGATGAGCCTAGTGCTGCTAGGTGGAAGTGCTAACCACTTAACCACTGTGCTGCCGACATACTTGATTTGCTGTTTCTGTCAGCAGCATACTTCCTGTCCTACGATAACATTACTCATTTATTGTACTGCATCTGTGGAGGAACAGTGTTGTTATCTTGGGCTGATTTGAACTACAAACTTCCCCCTCATCTTCATTACATAGAGGGAGTTGTTTTTCAGTTCACAGATGGTACCTGGGAAGGCAGATAACATTGTATAATATTTCAGTTCAGTAAACAGGAAGATAGAATGACAATTTACAAGCTTGAAAAAAGGAAAACTAATACAGCTAAGGATTTATAAGCTGCAATAACCTATATTATTCTTGAGGATATGTATACTTACGTATGCTATCTTTATGTAATGAAATATAAGTTAACCTTTCGTAACATGTTACATGTTACACCCATATTCAGGGTGTAGCATGTAACATGTTATGAATGGACTGCCCTTGAACCCCCTTCCCCCCAATCCCCCATTGTGACAGCTAGCCGGGGATCCTCTCCACTCGCTAGCTATCACAATATGCTGTGTATTCACAAAATTCTGTGAATGAGAATACTACAAGTCCCGGCAGCCTTTTCAGCTGTCGGTTTGTAGTTCTCAATGAACTAAAACAGCTCTGTAAAAGCTGTGGTAGTTCATTTAGTCTTCCTGACAGAATGTATTTGCTTGCCCTTATGCTGTATGGGCACACAGATACAGTCTGCCGGAGACCTGAATGGCATCAACGATCTTCTGATCGCTGGTGCAATGCTATAGAGGCTCCAGAAACTAAAAATAATAAACACACATTTTTTCGTCTGCAAAACAATGTGCATTTATTATTTTTTGTTAAAAGGTGAATTTATCAACTAATCCTTTAAAAACTTGAAATGACTGACAGATTAGATAGGACAGACAGGAGAAACAATGACCAAGATCTTGCTCCACACTAATCACCCAATGGGATGCTTGGGCCATTGGCAAGTACAACAACATGGCCATACTGAGTACATCTGACATTTGCTCACAGAGACCTTACGACTTGTTGGAAGCTCTCTGAGAAAGATGGACAATAACTCTTGCTTCTTGCTGAGAAGGGTTAAAGTGTGTCTAAAAACAAAACATTGGTTTTAGATTTGGATAAAGCAGGGATCCAAATCTCCAGATTTGGATAGTGGGGACACAGAAAGGAAAATCCTTTCTGTGTCCCCACTAGGGAGATTCACCCTGAAAACAGTGCTACACACAGGCAGATGTCTCCCCGTCCATTGTTTTTAGAAAGATATTCATCTATGTGTAACCAGCCTAAAGAACCACAATTTTTGTACAACTAGTCCACTACTGTAGAATATGTGATTCCTGATTATTAACATTAGCGTTTTAGTTATGCTTCATTGTCTGTTTTCAATATACAAATGCCAGCTTGATACAGATTCCTCATGTATTTAAAATATCACACATAGCAGCTAGTAAAAACAAAAAAGAATAAGTATGAAACCTCATATTTGAGAGTTGAATTGTGCATTGTTCCTAAGGTTATCTTCCATAATAGTTTACACTGTTCTCTTTTGCCTGATGGGCATATGGGTGTTAGCTTTTGTGTTTTATTTGCATTTTAAACACAGATTTCAGACGTTATACTTTTCTGAGAACTAGAAAGCTAAATAAATAAAATACTTGTATTAAATGATGAATTTATTCACAAAGATATTTATGAGTCCCTGTCTCTTAGACACCTGCTTTTAAATAATAACACTTGGCTGCTGTTTTGGTTGGAGAGAAGGTAATTTTACTTACTGTATATTTGTAGGATTAGGACATACGTATGTGTACAGTATGTATGCTGACATGTTCAGAATACAAGCATAATGACAATGTACACAATGGGTCTGATGAATTTAAAGCAGTGTATGGCACTTCTGGCACCACTCCATTCAATAAAAGT